GAGGGTGGAAAGGAAGAGACGAAGGAGAAAAATGGGTTTTGGGAGAGATCCGACCGTTGAGGTTTCGCGGGTTGAAGATTAAATGGGCCAGACTGTTCTGTGTGTAGAGATAGAGAGAGAGAGTACTAGATAAGCCCAATTAAATATAGAAAGAAATATTGGGCCGAGTAAAGCCCAAAGATATGATAGTCAACTTACAGGATGTGTTGTTGACCAGCGGGACACGTGGTGTCAGTGATAAACTTATACGAATCATACGAATCATACGACTCGGAACATCATCGGATCAGGTTACATTATAATTATTAAACTTTTTTTAAAAAAATTAATATACCCAATAATATATATTTACCTCATCGATTTTTTAAAAATTAATAGAAATGGAAATCTTATTTGCCAGTTGATATACCGGACAACAGATCTGGTTCACATAAGCAATCATACCTCAAAGAAAATCCTAAATTCATACCAGTTCTCCTGCTCAAACAGATCAATGGAGGTAAAACCAACATATATACAAAAACACACTTTATTCCGCCGGTGTTTACTTCCCTATTCGCGAATCGCTGACAGTTCAAATCCATCATCAATATTATCAGAAAGATTTCTTTCTCCAGTTGTTTTAGAAGCCTCAACCCATACCAACACAAGCATTTGGATTGTCTCCATGCTTTGCACAACGTAATATGCGGTCAACAGAGCCATGCATGCTAAATATGCCTTCAAAATCTTGTGTGCCTTTCCACCCTCCAAAGCAGAGTCCGGTGCTCGTTTCTTTCCCTCTTCTTTCTCCTTCCCCGGCCCCTCGTCCTTTTCCGGTCCCTCGTCCTTTTCCGGTCCCTCGTCCTTCTTCGGCCCTCCGCCTTCCGGCCCTTCGTCGTCTGGCCCCTCGTCCTCTTCTTCATCCTCTTTCATTTTCATTTGCTGCGTCCACTCCTGAATTGCAGAACGGAGAGCATGGTTCGGGATGAGAGTGTGGTTTGCAAGTCTAGCGTTTGTCATTGGCGATGTATCGCGGCCATTCCTGAGCCATGTTTGCAATTCTTCTTTTTCATATGTATAGCCATCTGCTGCTGTATGAGGATCACTCATGATTTCCTGAAAGTATAGGGAAATAAAATGAATAGTGCATTATTGGATACACAATTGCAACCAAAAGTGTCAAGATTTGATCCTCATTCATGAGATGATCACGACTCCATGAGGGTTTTGGTGTTTTGCCGGTTGGTCAGAACAACTAATTTAAAAAAGTAACATGCTCCCTCCCCTTTTCTTCAGGCTTAAGGTCCCCTGAATTCTTTTCCATTTTTCCCCTTTGGGAGTTAAGAAATAGAAACTCCAGAACCACTGAAGACTTTCAGATTTCAATTGTGATTCTTAACTCCAGAAGAAACTTTGTTATTTAGCCGAGCAAATCATAAAATTGCAGAATCTAGTCTCTGCAGATAAGGCACTCAAGAAGAGATATTTAAAAGAATAAACGAGCAAGAAGTGACCTAACCTGTGAGATAGGACAAAGGAAATAGTCTGGAGGCGCCTGATTCTCTTCAGAAACAGGATTAAATGACGGTGAGGCTGCCCAAGAAGCCCTTATTGGTTCAAGCACCTCCAGTATCTCTGTCTCGAGGTCTGGTCGTCGGCTTCGGTTGACATCACAGCATCTCAAAGCCAAGAAAGACAACTGTTGAGCTTCCTGATCTGGCCATCCTCCAGCTGTAGGATCCAGTAAGCTACTTAGATTATCTGAAGCTATTGCATCTTGCACCTCCTCTGCTATATTTTCAGGTGGTCTCCCAGTAAGTAACTGTAATAATACAATACCAAATGAGTATATGTCTGCGCTAGGAGATAATCTTCCCCTTGTAGAAAACTGGGGATCAAGGTAAGGAGATGTGCTGTTTGTCAAACTGCTATCCCAAACTCCAATCTCACTAAGTTTGCAGACATAGTTAGCATCAAGGAGAATATTTCCAGGTCTTAAGTTACCATGTACAATGCTATGATCTCTATTAGAATGAAGAAAGAGTAGGACACAGCATAAGTCAGTAGCTATATGAATTCGAGTTTTCCATGACAGTGGGGGGGTGTCATCACTGCAGCTCAGTCGATCTTCAAGGCTTCCATTGGGGAGATATTCGTAAATGAGAGCTAAAATATCAGGGCAGGCTCCAATAAGAGTAACCACATTTGGGTG